AGTTGTTACTAAGCCTCCATACGAAATTACTGAAACAGGATGGGGTGAATTTGAAATAATCATCAAAATATTTTTCATTGACCCGAATGAAAGACCTGTGAGTAATATTTGCAAATAGAAAATAGAATTCTTTAAAATTTGAAAATATAATAATACTAAATGAATAACTCGTGTTCATTCGAATATACTTTATATGAGCTAAGGGCATTGTATATCTGTCTGGTCATGAGTTAAGGTTTTTGCATTTTTAAGTGAAGTGCCTTTCAAAACCTTTTTCCCCTTTTCAAGTGTGGAAGAAAAGGTATATAATGTGAACATTCATTGGAAACAAACTAAGGAAATCAGATGATTGCTGCAGAAAAAAGTTTTAACTTGTCATTTCATTGTTAGTGATAAAGAGGTTGGATTCATATGCTGTCTAAAAGGATAGCTTGTGCTTTATAAACCCTTAAGAACTGTGTTCATGGTTTTTCAAGCAGCCATCAGCACTAGCGGCTTTACCTTACTCAGGACTCATTTACAATCACTGATTATTTCGTCTCTTAACTTCCATGCTTTCATTTTGATCCTCAGCAACTTTCTGAGGTTGATGATAGTCTTCATTTTAGAGATAAGGATCTTAAGACTCAGGGGTCAATCCTAGTGCTTGGGAAGCTGAGGCAGGATGATTATTGTTGGTTCAAGGCCAGCCTGGGCTACAAAGTGAGTTCAAGGCCAGCCTGAACTGTGTAGTGAAACCCTGTCTCAAAAAGACAAAACAAAAAACTCCGGAGTCAAGTCCTGTGATCAGAAATTCTGTTAATTGTAGCAGAGCTAGTTTTTGATCCAAGTTATTTACACTTGCTTAACATTCTGTGGTGAGCCTTTTAGAGCTTTCAGTGATAACAGTCGGGTGTGTCCCATAGGTTTGCCACCACTGCTAGAGTATTTTTTCTTTTACTAAAACCACTACAACTGTTTAGAAAATTTACCTGTATATGAGTCACAACTCAGCTATAACTCTCATTTTACATGTATAGGGGTGGGATTTAACATTCACCATTAATGTGTTTTTATTTTTGTTTTTGTTTTTTGTGGTACTGAGGATTGCACTCAGGGAGTTTGCACTTCACACTGAGCTTTTAGTTTTTTACTTTGAGACATAGTAAAGATGCCTAGGCTGGGCTCAAACCTGCAGTCCTCCTGCCTCAACTTCCCACCTTCTGAGATTGCAGGCCTCTGCCACCACACCTGACTCAGTCACCATTTTCCACTTGTTAGAATCAGCACATTCCTTGGAATACCAAACATTTACATTTTGTCATACTACACTGTTACAATTGTAGGTGCTTTTAAAAGCGTAGAGCATCAAGTGAGTCAGTGATTCAGAGATGCAGTACCTAACTGGACACATCAGAAATACCTGGGGTACTTTAAAAATTTTTGAACTTCTGGGCCTTTCCCCTGGAGAGTCTGATTTAGTAGGTTTTGGAGTGGGACCAGTAGCCCAGGTGATCTGATCCACAGTGAGTACGGGAACCCATTGGCATATGCTTTGTTCTTCCTGTGTAGAAATTCACTCAAGTTGTCTCTCAAGTGAGAACCTAATTTGGATTTGCATATCACCTATATAGAAGACTGACTTCCATCTTTAAAGGAAGCATTCTATTTGGTTTGGGGTTAGTTCCAGTTCGGTACTTTATATTATGCTTCCTTGAACTTTTTGCTGATGACTCTATACATTGATTTCCTTTTCTCCTAAATAAACATTCATAGCTCATTTAAATATTTTTCATGTATGGGGTTTCCATATCCACCAGTATATCCTTCTAGAACACTCTCACATACACTGTTTATCAAGAAATTATGAAATACCTGTTATTTATAGGACATTGTTTAAAGGATTGTGAAGGATACAAAGGTGAGGCACTGCCTAACCTGGTGAAAATAGTTCATTAAGGGAGACCAGAGCACAGAATTCAGCACACATTGAGAAAGGAAGAAAAAAGACCATGATGCTCCTAAAACAGTAGCTCCTTTTAACTTTGTAAGATTGCTCCCTTTTTCTTTTTTGGCAGTGCTGGGGATTGAATCCAGGGTCTCACGCATGCCAAGCAAGCACTCTGCCAACTTAGCTACATCTTTTGATCCTGTTTTAATTTTACTGCCTTCTCTGTCATCATTTCATTGTTAGAAATAAAGAGCTTGTGCTTCTAATCTATTGTCCCCTCCCCTCCGCCACAACAACTGGAAAATGCGTCTCTGAAAGAAATTATTATATCTTGTAACTTCTTTATAAGAGAACATCTGTTAGAAAGGTAAACTAATACGGCCTATTACACCTCCATAGTGATTAATCTGTTGCATATGTTCTCACACAGATCTACAGAGGCCTAAATTTCATTCCCTAAAAAGTATTGTAGTGTTCTTTTAGTATAGTAAAACCATTGTATTTCTTCAATAGTTGGCTCTTACCAAAAATGAGTCATATAAAGATTTATTTAACACACAAAAGAAAGACATGAGTAATATCATTTATTTCTGTTCACTAGTATCTTGTTTCTAACCTGTTCAGAAACAAAGAATGCTGTTTCTATAAGTAAAATTCTAAGGTCCCATTTTGTCCTTCAAAAGAATTTCTAGGTAGTTATAAGCAGTTTTATTGCTCTAAGAATTGTCACATAGCATTCAAAGTTAAAAACATCTGTCTTAATTTTTTTATTGCCTATATATGCATAAATGCTTCTGGGAGTCTGAATAGTACATTTAGAAAACAGTTTAATGATGTAGTTTTTAAATGTTTTTATTATTAAGTCAAAAGTGTACAAGAGATTTCTGTTTCAAGAGAATACTGTTACAGGAGATTTCTTAAATAAAAAGTGCAAGTCCTCATGTGTTAGTTTCCGAGTATCACAGCCTGGGTGCCTTAAAACAGTAAGTTACCCTCACAATTCTGGAACCTTAGAGGTTTATTTGTTTTTGGTTTTTGTTTGTTTATTTCTTTCCTATGGAGTCACCTGTTTAATATAGGGAAATAACATTTTGTCAATACTAGGCACCATAAAATGTAAATACAATTACTGTCATAAACCTGGATATACCTTCAAGGATTGAAAGTAGCTTTGTTTTAATTACCCTCTTTGCATATAGTTTGAAATCAAGGTGTAGGCTGTGTTGCTTCCAGATCCTCTCTGGGAGGATCTTTGCTGACCTTTTTCAGCTTTTGAAAGGCCCAGGTGTCCCTTGGCTTTGGAGAGCATAACGCTAATCTCTGCCGCTATTGTTCGATGACCTTAGCTCCCTCTCTGTCTCTGTATCTCTTCACATAAGGGCGCCATATTGAATTCGGGTCCATCCTAATGACTTCACCATAAGTTAGTGACATTTGCAAAGACTTTGTTTGCAAATAAGGTTATATGCACAAGTACCAGGAGTTAGGACTTCAACATATCTTTGGGCCACACACTTCAGTGCACCATCTTCTTCTTTTCTCATCTCCCATCCCTTCCCCAGGAAAACCACTTTTTTAACAGTTACTCTTTTTAATTCCTCTAGAAATTACCCCTGTGTGTCTCATATTTAAACCTCAAATTTTGGATTTTTCAACTTTAGGTAATACCTGTCAACTCCTAATGATGCTGGATGATCCATTTTCCCCTGTATTTGCAAGTTTGTTTTCTTCCTTTTGCTAGAGGAATTTTTTCACAAAGGATACTTGAAAAATAAACTTTTATTAGAGTCATTGCATATCTGAAAATGTCATTTCTTCTCCATACTTGATTGCTGGGATGAATAATTCTAGTATCAAGGGGTTGACGTGCTTTGTTGTCCATGAGAATAGAGAGAAGGGAGGCTCAACAGGCCCAGCTATCCATAGCTTCTTGATTTCACTATCTACCCACTCAACTTGGAACTTTCTGGGACTCTTAAGAGCTCTGGCTACGTCCTCTGATGTAATTTTCTTCCTTATTTTTTAAGTTGTAGTTTTTCTGTATTATGATTTATTATCCCACTCTAGCATCTTTTTCTGTTCCAAAAATTTGTCAAATTATGATTTTGTTTTGTTTGTCTTTTTGAGATAGGGTTTCAGTGTGCAGTTCAGGCTGGTCTTGAACTCACTTTGTAGCCCAGACTGGCCTCAAACTCTCAGTGATCCTTCTGCCTCAGCCTCTGGAATGCTGGGATTACAGGCATGTGCCACCACGCCTAGCAAATTAGGTGTTTTAATATGGCATAAGCCGGGCGTGGTGGCACATGCCTGCAATCCCATCACTCGGGAGACTGTGAGGCAGGAGGATCCCATTGGGGGTTCAAGGCCAGCCTGGGCTACAAAGTGAGCTCAAGGCCAGCCTGAACTGCATAGTGAGACCCTGTCTCAAAAAAGACCAAAAAAAATGGCATATACTTCATGCTGTCTCAATTTCAGATTGTACTATCTTTTTAAATGGAGTTCTATGCATTTCCCATCTCCCTTTTCTATATTCTCTTTTACCCCTCAGTGTTGGGGATTGAACTCAGGGCCTTGTGTATGCTAGGCAAGTAAAATGCTCTACCAGTAAGCTGTACTCCTAATGTGCCATTCTGAACCTAGAAGGTGTTCTTTAAGCAGAATACTTAACACTGGCCGCTCATATCCAGAGAAGTTTGACACTTCTGTAAGTTGAGGTAGATCTACCTTCAAGGGGAGTTTGATGATGCTTGTTCAAATTCAGTTGCAAGACTTTGTGTATTTTCTGACTTCTACAGAGTACTCTTCCTTAATGCATGATTTTTTTTTTGTTTTGCTTTGTTTTTTTTTCCCGGTTCCAGGGTTCGTGATTATTTTGAACAGTATTATATCCTTGTAATGATACCAGCTACTCTTTTGGAAAATTTTTTGAAGCCCTTAGTTTATACAGCTTCTAACAGGAACACTTATGTTTGCCGGCTGTTTTATTTTGCTACAGTAGTCACATATGCTGCAAAGCATTTCCTTTGATGTCTTACAACACATATTTTAAAGTATTTTTAGACATGGTGCTCTTGTCAAAGTAAACTATTACTGACCAACTTTGTGTTTATTTATTATGTCATTTATGTAATAATCCTATATCTATCACCCTGGAGAGTGTCTTGCTCTTGCTAAGTATTTTAGTATTGGTTACTCTCCTTTTGAAAGTATATTTTCTTCCCACAGTAATCTGTAAACTCTAATCTTCATAGACAACTGTTAACAACTAGTGCGTTTTCACTTAAGTAAAATAATTCATGTCTCGGTGATTTTAAAGTTTAATTTTCATAGCTATATCTAGTGTTATTTTTGTATATACTTGATGGGGGGGGGTTGGTGGTATTGGGGATTGAACCCAGGGATTTACACCTGCCAGGAGCTACATTCCCAGCATTTAGAGATCCTTGGATAGGTCCTTACTTACCTTCTTCAAAACATCCATGCTCAGTAGATGCATATGGATGGTGCTACCTAAGAAGAAAATAGAAGTGCAGAGTTTGGTGATTTGCCACAATAAATTTCAGTTGAAAGAAGATCTGAATTTGATGTGTTTACTAATTTGTCTCTAATTCAGTTTAAAAAATTTGAGTTTTTCATGATGAAAACCATTGTACAGATATGACATCTGTTTTTATTTTACAGGTAACCCTATACCATTTGTTAAAGCTATTCCAATCAGACACCAATGCAATGTTGGGCAAAAAGACAGTTGTTTCAGAGTTCTATGATGAAATGGTAAGATTTTTGTAGTGAGAGTTTAAAAGCAGTTTAAGCTGGAGAACTTTGGAGCTAATAAGCTTTTTTTCCCTTTCTATCCCTGAAGATATTTCAAGACCCAACGGCAATGATGCAACAGTTATTAACAACGTCACGTCAGCTAACATTAGGGGCCTATAAGCATGAGACAGAATGTAAGTACCATGTATTTATTCCTACTTAATCCTGAAAACTAATGTACTGTATAATAATGAAAGGATTATTTGATTAGAAGGTATTAATCTTTTTTTTATGGTATAGGTGAATTTCCTAGGACTGAAAAAGCAAAGTATGATGGTACATGCCTCTGCTAGTTGGGAAGCTGAGGCAAAAGAATCACAAGTTTGGGCTTAGGATATGGCTCAGTGGTAGAGTTCTTGCCTTGCATGTGCAAGGACCTGGGTTCTAAAGGAAGGAAGAAAAGAAAAGAAGGAAATCACAAGTTCAAAGTTGCTTAGGCAACTTTGTGAGACTGGCTCAAAATAAAATTTCAACTTGGGAGGCTGAGGCAGGAGGATCATTGTGAATTCAAGGGCAGCCTGAGCTACAAAGTGAGCTCAAGGCCAGCCTGAACTGCGTAGCAAGACCATGTCTCAAAAAGACAAATAACAAAATAAAACAACAACAACAAAAAAAAACCTATTTCATCCCTGTGTTAACACAGGTCATAGGGATCTATTCAGTCCTTCCTTTGAATTTATAAAATATGTAAAATACAGTATATATTGAGTACCAGCTATCAGGTAGGTATTGTTCTAGGTACTGAGGACAGGGCAGTGTCCAATCATACAAAAAGCTCTCCCCTCATGGAACATACGTTGTAGCAGGAAAGTCACCAGTATTAAAGAACAGTAAAGTGTCGGGTAGTGATTGGGTGCTGTAGAGAAAAATGCAGTGCAGGCAGCATCTCTGGTGGGAGATAATGATCAGAATTTCAAATAGGTGCAGAAATGTTTCCCAGGATTATAGCATTTGGGCACCTAGAGAAGTAAGATCGTAATCTGAAGAGTCGAGTGTCTCCTGTCAGGGGAGACACAGGGGCAGAATCCCTGAGATGAGAGTATGCCTGGTGCTGGGCCTGGTGGCTCAAGTGTGGAACCCCAGCACTCAGGAGGCTGAGGCAGGAGGATCACTGCAAGTCTGAGGTCAGCCTCAACTATACAGCAAGACCTTGTCTCAAAACCAAAAAAAAAAAACATGCCTGGCACTCCTGAGGATCAGCACGGAGGCCAGCGTGGCTGAAGAGTGTGAAGAAGAAGAAGAGGATAGGAAGTGAGTCCAGAGAAGTTAATGGGGCCCAGGTCGTACAGGGACTTGTAACTGTGAGGACTTTAGATTTAATCAAGTGTGGGGAGGGAAGAAAGGGAAAGGGGATGGAAAAAGGAATTAAGTTGTGTGATACGCGTGTACCAACTCCCCACGAGGAGTGCAGGCATTATGTACTACACACATGTGCATATAAACTAAAAAAATACATTTGATGGTATGGAAAAAACCAGAAGTGGATATGAAGTCTCTTATGGGTGTGGAGCAGAGGGGTAATATCAGACTAAGATTTTTACATGACCACTCTAGCTGTTGTGCTGAAAAGAGACCCTGAAGCAGAAGTGGTAGAAACGGAGGATAGGTAGTAGTTAGGAGGCTGTTTCCATGTTTCAGACGCAGTACTGTGTAGAACAGAGTGAAGGAAGCGGTGAGAAATGGGGTCAGACTGTGGACCTATTTTGAAGGTAGGTACAGTAGAGTTTGCTGAGGATTTGAATAATAAACTGTGAGGGGAAAAAAATGAACAAAAGACAACTTAAGGTTTTGGGCCCAAGGAGCCCCTTCTCCCCACCCGCAAAGTCATCACTTTTTGTGAGATGGGAAGTCTGGGAGGAACAGGTTGAGGCAGAAGGTTAAGACTGCACTTTTGGACATATCAGATAAGACATGTAATTGGAGGTGTTGAGAGGCACTGGCACATGAACTTCTGGTACTGAAGGAGAGGTCCAGGCAGACAATATAAATTGGGGAGTTAATAGTATATGGATGGAGTTATAAATTGTGAGATCACATGGTATCATCAAAGGCATGAGGAAACTTAGAGCAGAAGTCCAAGCACTGATCAGAGCCCTGAGCACTCTTAACGTTCAGAGGTCAAGGAGATGACCAGGTAACAGAAGTAGGGACAAATGGCAAGGATGAAGAAGTAAAAGCCAGGTACGCGTCAGGTCCTGGAGCCCAGTGAAGGAAGTGCGTCAGGGACTAGAGTCATGAAGTGTGCCTCATACTCCTTGCGTGTCATTAGAGTGAAGGTGAGATGGTGGAGAGGCCACAGTGAAGGTCCTTGATGACCTTGGAGGAGCAGTGTAAGGTGCACAGGAAGGACAGGTGATCAGTTGATACGGATAAGAAACAATGAGATGAAATTGGAGACAGGCGGTAAAGATAAACCTATTGGGAGCTTGGCTGTAAAGGGAAGCAGTAACACCGGAAGCAGCAGCAGAAGCTGCATATGGGATTAAGAGAGCTGGTTTTTGGGTTTTTTCCCCCGGGGAAATAAACTAGTTTTATCTTTAGGCTGAAAAGAGTGGCCTAAAAAAGAAGGCATGGCAGGATGGTAATGCAGGGAAGAAGGGGTTTATGCTTAAGCACTAGTCATGGTAGCAGGGCTTATATTTTCATGATAAACTACTTACCTGACCTATTTTGTCATGAACATAAAATAAATGTACGTATGATCATTTTGAAAAGATGAAAAGCACTGCTTACAGACTATCTTAGTTTTGTTACTGGTCACTTTCTCTTCTTAGGTCTTTCTGTAGTGCCATAAATGTATCCAGTCCATAGAAGAAACTTCCAAAGTTGAAGTCAGCTTCTTCCCTAGTGTTTTTATATTTTCAACAAAACTAATATTTTGAATTCATGTATAATAAGTAGATACAAATAGGTTTTATGAAAAAGTGATTCTGTAAATCTAATTTGATGTGTTAAAGCTTATGTATAGAGCTCTGTGAACTTGAAGTTTTAAACAGTAAATTACATGTTTTATATTATCCTCAGTTCAGTTTTTAGCAGTATCAAATCAATAAGAAAAAGAAAGATAACTCCATAAATGGTGTTGATAGAGTTGGTAAGCTTCTGGGAGGAAAATTTGCTTCATAGTATTTATCAACAAATTCCTAGTCGGGGATGTAGCTCAGTGGCACAGCACCTGCCTGGCAACTGCAAGGTCCTGCGTTCAATTTCCGGCACCAAAAACAAACAAAAAAAATCCAAAACAAAACAAATTCCTAAGGTAATCAAGCATTTTTTAAAAAGTCAGGCCACCTGGATTGTTTTTTGTTTACTTTGGGTTTTGTTGTTGGTAGTGGTGTTTTTGCCATGGTAGGGATCAAACACAAGGCTTTGTACGTACTAGGCAAGTGCTCTACAACTGAATTGCATCCTCAGAGCCCCAGGCAACCTGCTTCTTAAAAACTTAGGGAAATTACTATCTGTCTTACCTAGGGGAGAACTTTATCTTTTTTCTTTGCTTTTTGGCAGTACTATGGATTAAACATAAGGGCTTGGCACTGAGCTATCTCCCCAGCCCTTTTTTTTTATTTTTGGGGGGATTTTTGTTTGTTTTCTGTCTTGTTAAGTTGCCCAAGCTAGGCCAGGTATGGTGGCGCAAGCCTGTAATCCCAGCATTCAGGAGGCTAAGGCAGTAGGATCTCTGCGAGTTCAAAGCCAGCCTGGGCTACAGACTGAATTCAAGGCCAGCTTGAATTTCATAGTGAAACCCTGTCTCAAAAACACTAAAGAGGGAGCTGGGGATTTAGCTCAGAGGCAAAGCGCCTGCCTGGCAAGCGCAAGGTCATAAGTTCGATTCCTGGTACCGGAAACAAAACAAAACAAAAAAAAACTAAAGAAAAAAGTTACTATGAGTTGCCAAAGCCGGGCTTGAATTTGCAGAATTACTGCCTCAACTTCCCAGAACCCTGGTATTACAGGCATGCACCACTACACCTAGTTTAGGGAGGACTCTCTAAATTTACGGAGATAGAAAAAAATCATATTAGAAGGAGGGCAAAGAAAAGTAAGTTTTCAGAAAATATAGCAAAGATTTAATACCTTTATTTTAAAAAGAAATAACCCTCTACTTAGAATGTACAAGTCCCTAGGTTTGATCCCTAACACCACGGAAACAAAAACAAAACTCTAAAATTGATAAATAGCTAAAATTTAAACTTCAGTAGATAAGTAGGCAAAAGACATTAATAGATGTGTGGAAGAAAAAATAAATAGTAAATAGGAAAATACTTCTTCCTGCTAGTAATTTTTAAAATGCAAACCAAACAGTAATAGGTAACTATATTTGTCCTATCAGATTAGCGAAAGGAATTTTAGGGGTGGTTTAGTTTGATTTGGTTTGGTTTGGTTTGGTTTTGATTTTGATTATGGTTTGCTTTTGGTTCTGGTTTAGCTCAGTTTTTAAAACATGATCTCATACTCTGGTTTCTCTTCAGATTGTATAAATCTTTCTCCTTTTGAAACATGATCTCACTAGGTGTTCCAGGCTAGCCAGGGAGTTGAGTCCTCCTGCCTCTGCCTCCTAAGTACTGGCACCACCACACCCAACACACAGAAGGAATTCTAATAGAATTGCAAAGAATTTTTTAAAAAGATAAATGAACATTTAGTCAGAATTTACTGTATATAAGATAAGTGCTTTTAACTTACTGAATATCCATGACAGCCCTAGAAGGAATGTACTGTAATTAGCTACCTACATTTTGTAAGTAGATACCCTAGGGAGATTTCATAACTTGCCCAGAATTACCCAGTGGAGCCTGGATTTAAACCCAGAATGTGCCTTCTTAACTAGTAAGTTGTTCTGTCTGTGTATAAAAGGTTCATACTGGCCGGGCATGGTGGTGCATGCCTGTAATCCCAGCACTCAGGAGGCTGACGCAGGAGGATTGCTGTGATTTTGAAGCTATCCTGGGCTACAAAGTAAGTTCATGGCCAGCCTGAACTGCGTAGTGAAACTCCTTCTCGAAAAGACCAAAAAAAAAAAAAGCTCGTAGTATATATTCCGTGCTCCTAACTAGTACGTTAAACTGACTATACAAAATTAACAGTTCTTTGGATTGTTTTCCTCTGAGACTTCATTGGGAAATGAAAAACAGAAACTTTTAAAATAAGCATGTAATATTATAGGAAGCAGAGAACTGGAACAAGTTAAGCAAATGTTGAAGTGTTTTCCTCCAAGACCTCATTGATGTTTAACCCAGGTCTCCTTCCAGATGTGTCATACTCTTCAGAGTTCAGCAGTTGTCAAAAACAAAGCAATGTGACTCAGTTGTACACTAGAATCTATGTTATATTTATGGTGAATACCATCCAGATGATTGAGTTAAATCAGGTCTCCCTGACTGTATTTAAAACTACCTGTTAAAAGCATACAGGACTCCTTGTGGTTTTCCAGATGTATAGATGCTGTTTCCAAGGCCTGCCCTGTCAACGTCATCTACCTCTTCCTTGTTCTGTAAGACCTAGTCCAGACCCCCTTGATGTATACATACCCTTTCCCTTTAGTGTGAATCCCTGCGATTACCTCATGGTGCATTGCACTGTTGTTTTCTTGCCTCTGTCCTACTTCTGGACTGCAGCAGCTAACACAGTATCTATCACTCAATTATTTTCTCACTGATATGACAGAAAGTGTAAGGGAACAAAAGTTTCTGTGTAGTAAATGTGAACTAAGCAGTGTGAACAAAGTCTGAAGAGAGATACACCATGAAAAAATACTCTACCCAGGTCACAGATGACTGGTGTCTGAGGAGCGGCTGCAGGTCAGCAAGGAAGGCCAGTGACCAATAGAAAATGAGCAAACAAAATTGGCCAACCTCGGTAGTAATAAGAAATTATTAACAGTATTACTTTTTAAAAGAGTACTTTTAATTTATCATTAAAAGTATTCTAAAATAGTGTTTTTAAGCTTTGAGATTAAAAGCAAAAAACTGATGCAGTAGGAAAGCATATATACAGTGACAGTGGGATTATACATTGGCAGATGCTGTAAGAGAGACTTGGCATTCTTCCAAAATTACAAGTACATAGAGCCTCTAACCTAATGAGTCCACTTACAGGAATTTATCCTGCAAGTCTACTGAAAGGATTATGTGCAGCACATATAGTACCGCATTGTTGTCATAGGAGAAAGTGGAAGCACTCTGAGTGTTTATCAGTGGGAAGCAGATGAAGTAAATTATGTATTCATTCAGTGCGGTTTTCTACAGTCATTTGAAAGAAGGAAGCAGCTCTGCAGTATGGAATGAGCTTCCAAATAAGAAAAACAGCCAAGTGCAGAGCAGTTTGCAGAGTGTGATACCACTTGTGGTGGAGGGGAGAAAATGGAACCACATGAGACAGCAGAGAGAGCTAGCAGTGATCATATCTCTGAGGAGAGCAGCCCTGGTTAGTGGGGGTTGGGGAGTGGGATACTTTTCACTTTCTGCCCTTTTCAACCTCTTGTATTGATATGCACTACCTATTTTAAAAATACATAACCTTTTAAATAAAAGCAATGAAGGAAAGAAAAATACGGGTTGTTTTGGCAATGTAGAATTAGTGTTACAAAAAGTATCACAAGAAGCAGGTTTCCAACAATGAGGAAAATAAGGAAAGTACTCGTACTTTTCTTGTTGCTGAGACAAAATACACAACACCCAAAGTTAAAGGAGGAAAGGTTTACTTAAGGCTCAGTGTTTAGCAGTTTCAGTCCATAGTCAGCCAGCTCCAAGGCAGAGTGGCCTGCTAGACAGGCATCACTGAGGAGAAACAGTGTATGGTGAGCAGAAGGTACCAAAGCAACAAGGAACGACCACAGCACTTTCTGTCCCTTACATCTTATTCAGGCTACTCAGGCGGGTACCACTCACACCCTAATCCTAGTGCTCTTGATCCTAGCATTGCACCATGAATCAGCTCCAGCATCACACACTGTAGATCCAGATACCTCTGAAAAAGCCCTACCTGTGACTGCATGAGGCTTTGGGGGGATATCTAGACACAAGCTGTAACAGTACTCACTAATATTTATTGCATGTTTTCCTGTGCTGGGTAACTTTAAATATAATTACTTCACTTAATCCTTATAAATCCTGTGAGAAACATGTAGTTTTAGCCATATCATTAAAAAGAAGGAATTCTAGCCAGGTGTGGTGGCACACGCCTGTAATCCCAGCACTCGGCAGGCTGAGGCTGGAGGATTGCAAGTTCAAGACCAGCCTGGGTTACAAAGTGAGCTCAAGGCCAGCCTGAACTGTATAGCGAGACCCCGTCTCAAAAAGACAAAAAAAAAAAAAAGAGAAAAATTGAGCCAGATGTGGTGATGCACACCTGTAACTCCAGCACTCAGGAGGCTGAGGCAGGAAGATAGTCACAGGTTTGAGGCTTACCTGGGCTGCATAGTGAGTTTAAGATCAGCCTGAACTAAACAAGACCCAGTCTCCATGGGCTAGAGATGATAGAACACTTGGCCACCATGCACAAGGCCCTGGGTTCAATCCCAAAAACAGGAAAAAAAGAAAAAAGAAAATAGTTTTTTTTTAAAAAGACCTAAAGGAGCTGGGGGTTTATCTCAGCAGCACAGTGCCTGCCTGGCAAGCACAAGGTCGTGAGTTCGATTCCCAGTACCGGAAAAAAAAAAAACTAAAAAAAATAAAAATAAAAAAAGACCCAAAGCCAGACATAGTGGTGCATGCCTGTAATCCCAGCACTCAAGATGCTGAGGCAGGAGGATTGTTGCCAGTTTGAGACCAGCCTGGGCTACAAAGTGAGCTCAAGACCAGCCTGAACTGCATAATGAGACCCTGTCTTTAAAAAAAAAAAACAAAACCCTGTCTCCATAAAAAAAAAAAAGAAATGGGGAAGGGGGTACTGAGATGTCCACATATTAGGAGACTAAGAGTGTGTTTGAACTCAAGTCTTTTTTGTTTCAAAGTTGGAATTTTTTTTTCCACTAAACCATCCTGCTTCCAATTAGTGACCCATTTAAGTTTGCCTAAGTATAATTGTACACACTTCAGTAGTCATAAGCAGCAATTACCAAAAATGTCCACAAGATGGAGATGTAGGGTGCAAGCAAGCATTCTTTTAAAAGCAACGCTACACTATCAAAAGGCATTTTAAAATAGGTATATCCTATGTTGCAGTGTTATTTTCTTTAGCAATGTTATGTATCCAATAGAAATTCCATACATTATCTAGTTCCTTTTGCATTATAATACTTGGGAGGGCTTTTTATGCACCATACTTGTTTTCTGAGCACCATTTATATACGTATATATAAATCCACTTAAAATCTTTTCAACAAATAACATGAGATATTTGCCGTTACAATTTCTGTACTGTAATTGAGGAAATGAGCATAGAGAGAGGAAATAAGCATTCACAACTCAAATGGAAGAGCTGGAATTCAAATTTAGACAGTTAAATTACCTTCTTTTAAAAGCAAAAGCAGCTTATTTTGATAGTGTGACTTCGTTAAGGAAGTTTCATCTGTACATTGGTTTAAGAATACTTTTAGCCAGGCATGATGGCACACACCTGTAATCTCAGCTACTCTGGAGGTAAGGCAGGAGGATTGAAGGTTCAAAGCCAGCGTGGGCAACTTTGTGAGAACCTATCTCAAAAATAAATAAGAGGCTGGGGATGTAGCTCAGAGTACACGTTTAACATTGACTCAGCCCTGGGTTCAATCTCAAGCCCGAAAAAAACCAACTTTTTATTAGCTGATATCACCTGGGTTTGTATGCCCACTTTTTTCCAAACTAATATATATAGAGAAAAGCAAAACAATAGTATCCCTTAACTGTGAATTAGTGGCCAGAGTTTCATTCTTGTTTGTAGAAAACAGCCTAGATCCTCTCTTGGGAATTCAGACTATCTTACCTTCTCCCTCCCATCTGTGTTCAATGTTACATATCTTACCTTGTCACCTTTCATCATGGAAACATTGACCTGAGGAAATGCTGTATGTATGACTCTGTGACTCATCTTAGACATGTAAGAAAAATAATTCAGTACAAATTTTTTTTTCCTTAGTTGCAGAACTTGAAGTGAAAACCAGAGAAAAATTAGAAGCTGCCAAGAAAAAAACAAGCTTTGAAATTGCAGAGCTTAAGGAGAGGTTAAAAGCAAGTCGTGAAACTATAAATTGTTTAAAAAATGAAATCAGGAAACTTGAAGAAGACGATCAGACAAAAGACATATAAACAGTTCAGAAGAGAAGTTGGTAGTGTGCTAATAAGGGGAACTTTATGGAGAAATGGGCTTAATGCAAATGCTGTGTTTCTTAAAGGAACTGCATATGTAGTTGTCAACCATGGATTTCTCAGCAATGGAGTCAAAATAGTCTGTTCAATCTTCAATGGGAAATATTTGTGTAATAAGAACGGATGCTGTGTAGGCATTTTACCAGTCCATCTTAGGAAGATTCTATAATGTGAAGCACAATTTTTAAAAATTTTTATTGTAGTATATGAGTAGCCTATTTTCCTTTTGGCAAGCATCAAAATGTCATTATCAGTAAATAACCTGTACAAATTTTGTATTTCTGTAATAGTTAGAATTAAAGATAAGATTCTAAGCATGTGTATTTGATTTCTTCAAATCCTTATTTGCCCCTGTTCTACCTCTTTTGTATATGCTGTGCCCAAGTACTAAGTATTTAATAAACGTTGTTTTTGGACCTGTTTCTGCCTCGTGTAGTGTTTGTTTCTCTTTAAGACTTTTTGGACCTCCCTCAATACACTTACCACATCTCTGTAGTTTTATAACTACATCTTAAAGAAAAGCTTTATGTCGTTCTAAGTTGTTGCACTTACAAGGTTTATGAAGCTTGCACAAAGTTCTCTGTTGTCTGAAATTTCTGCTAGGGCCTTCTGGGGCTTGAAGGTGGTGCTTCTAATTGTGGCAGGCGTCATTCAGGTTTATCTTTTAGCCAAATGCCTACCATGCTCATGAGGATAAAACTTCCCATAATATAGGAGAGTCTGGGGATAGACCAGCAAAACTAATGAGGGAAGCAGTCTCATTCTACTTGAGAAACCTTGGCATGAGAGATCATCCCTCCTCATGAAGTCCACGTAGGCAGATTTACCTTTATGTTAGGTGTGCATACCAGGGTTCAACATGTGTCATCAAACTGACTGTGGTGGTACTGTATGCCTGTAATCTCAGGTACTGAGGAGACTGAGGCAGGAGGGTCACAAGCTTGAGGCCAGCCTTGGCAACTTAGTGGGACTGTGTCTCAAAAAAGGTCTGGAGATGTGGCTCAGTGCAGAGGCCTTGGTTCACTCCCCAGTACTGTGAGGGGAAAAAAAGTTAAACACTTGCCGTATGACTCAGCAAATTTACTCCTAGGTGTAGTGAACTGAAAACATGTCCATAGAGAAACTTGTATGTGAAGATTTATAGCAGCGTTATTCATAATACCCTCAAGTAGAAACAACCCAAATGTCCATTAACTAGTAAGTAAATCAATGTGGTCTGTCATTGCAGTGAATGATAATTCAGCAATAAAAATGAAGTGCTGATACGCTGTAATGTGAAAGATTCCAGACCCAAATGCCACATTGTATGATTCCAGTGTATGGAGTGTCCAAAAGAGGAAAAATTAGAGATAGAACTAGGAATGGGGAGTGACTAGGTTTGGGATTTTTTTGGGAGCTGATGAAAATTTTCTTGAATTAGCTAAGTGCTGGTGGTTTATAGTCAGTTTATGAATATTTAAAGAACTGGCTTGGAGGGAAAAGGGATTTAAAGAAAATGGCCAAAAATGGAAAAAAGGTTTTGTAAATGGGGAGGGGAAGAAAGGTTAAAGGGAGGTGAGGGGAATGGGAAAAAGATAACTCTGTACAGGTACAAATACCCTGTCATGAATATGATCATTATATACGGCAAATACGTACTAATAAAAATAATTTTTTTAAAAAACTGGCTTATATACTTCATAGTGTGTGAATTATATAATTTTAAAATTTTTTTTAAAAATAATACTGTGTTAACCATTAATTTTTTTAAATAATGGTAAGTGTTAACCATTTACTGAGTATGTGCTCCATTCTTAGCTAAAGAAAATCCAGTGAGTACATACTACCACCATTTAACAAATAAAACAGGGTCACAGAGATTAAATGCTTTGGTCTAGGTTACGTACTGGGAAGTCAAAGCCCCAACATTCAGCCAAGCTGTATTGATCAAAAGTGGATAGGTTCCATTTACATAACTGATAATAGAATACGACTGTCCTTGTGTGTACGTAAACTGTATTTCCCACAAATCAGTTGAAAAAGTTAATACAAAAATGGGCCAAGAATATGGACAAGTAATTCAGAAAGAAAAAAATACAAATGATGGTCAAAAAAAATGTGAAGAGATATATAAACTCACTAGTAATAAGGAAAATACCAATTAATAAAAGACAGTTTTCTCGTTACAGAGACAGCATTTAAAGATTTTTCAATATGCGGGCCCACAGAGTAACTGGTACTGTGCATCAAGTTTAATAGCTGTACACCGTTAACTGTCTCGGAATTTAAAATTAGTTAATTTCACTGCTAGGAGACATTCCCATATGTGCATAATGATATTCATGGCTTGTTTTGAGTAGTGAGCAATTGGATATAAATGAAATATCTACCAATATGTACAGAAGTTTGTGTAAATTTTTAGAAAACATTAGTTATTTGAAATAAAATTAGAGTGGGTGTTGGGGAGAATGGGTAAGGGATAAAGAAATCCCTTTCTCATGAGAGTGTGACTTTTTATGAACTTTCTAGCTATTTTCATGCCACTTGGTAAGGATACTATGTCAGTGGTACTGTAAGGCAGCAGTGTTTGTGGCAAAAAGCCCTCTTCGGTAAACTGCATCTGGAGGGACAACTGTCAATCCTTAGCAGGAACTAACTTTCTTGGACTAACCTGCTATGACTCAATCAGCACGTCTCTCATGGAAACCCTGGAAGCTACACCATGAAGTTGTTACAAGAGATATCAGCTCCTATGGTAAATGAGGCCAGTAATTCAAGACCGTTCCCATGCTGGCATGTTGCATGTCTTGGATTGAACCTAAGCTGCATTGTTCAGTGGACAGCTGCAAGGAATCCTGGGAGTGCTTCCCTATACCCTGGTGGCAATCTGTGCTTTCCTCTGGTGTAGCTTTTGGAGTAACAGAATGTGGTCCACAGTAGGATTGTGAATTAATACTCAGTTCAACCTAAAAATACTCCCTGCTGAGCATAGCTAGGTAGGCTTTCATGGTAAATTGAAAATAAATTTCTAAGTTAAAAAATTAGTTTATATGTACCTTCCATTTCAGCTGGTAGGACCTTCATCTTGTTCCTTAAATATGCCTTGAACTTCCTTGAATCTCACACTGTCCATCTTTGTTAAAATATTTTCTTCCTCTCAGACAGAAGTCAGCTTGCCTTCCTCTGAGCTGCCACAGCCTGGTGTTTACCTCTTTTTTGGCCATCCCTTTACCTGGAAAGGAAAAGCTGGAATTGATGGCCTCCCAGCTCAAGGGTTAACTTTATGTGTTCCCATCCTTGATCATTCCATTTATCTTAGTAATTGTATGTAAAGCACTTGGCAGGCCTCCCATCTAGTAAGTGTTCCATAAACTGTTGCTGGCATTTTATTTATTCTCTGCTGCTTCACTTCTGGTGCCCCTGCTGGGCCTGTTCTCCACTAAGGCACAGACCTAGTTTCAGATCTTGGCTGTCACTCCCTCTATGCTGGCCTGTGCAGTGCTAGGCACCGTGTGTCCCATCTGTCTCAGTATATCCCAAATAAGGACATAGATCATTACATGTCAAAAATGAAAACTAGTTATGGTACCATTCATGTGGATCTAGTTATATATGCTAAGCCTGTCCTATACTGACTTTAGGAGATTATACAAATTTATAAATTTTTTTGAGTTCTAGTGACTAGGTTATTTTTGTATCTGTAAAGAACAACACAAAGCTGCGGGACAACCTGGTCCAGTCTTCTAGGATAGGAATCCACAAACTTTTTTTTTTAAAGAACCAGACAGCAAATATTTTAAGGTCTTAATCACAGTTACTTTAAGTCTTGTAGTTTGAAAGCAGTCAAACATAAGCAAATGAGTGCTGTGTTCAAATAAAAATAGATTTTTTTGACACCGAAACTTGAATGTCATATAGTTTTTACATCACAAAATATTTTCTTTAATTTGAATGCTTCCAAAAACTGAAAAAAAATGCAGAAAAACATTCTTCCTTCACAGGCCAGACAAAAACAGGCAGTGAGCCAGACAGAGCCCAAGGGCTTGAGCTGACTGCTTCTTGTTCCTTCCTCTGAATCAGAGCTGCATCAGAAATGCTGGCCCCAAGAGGGAGCTCTATGATTTGCTTTGTGAATTCAGCTTGCGCTCAGCCCCTTATAAATTGTCTGGAGTTGAATTAGTCCAAGTTACTCTTTGAAAGGGATTTGCAGAGGAAGCACTGGAGCAGAAGCACACTGACTTGTTTCCTTCTACTTGATATCACCCAAGGCTTGTGGCCTTCCTGTCTCAGAGTGTTGCAAAAGCATAGCATCGCAAGGAATTCATTCCTTAACCTCCTCAGTTCATCGCAGCTTGCCTTCTTTCTTCTGCCCACGTCAGACACCTTGGGGCCACGTCCGAATGCAGGAGTTTTCAGGGCTCATCTGACCTTTCCGCAGCATTTGATAGAAGTTACCACTTTCTTTTACCTGGAATTTCCTTTCTCTTTCCTCTCTTATCACTATTACGTATCTTTCTTCCTTTCTTTTTCTTCTTTCTTTCCTTTTTTTCTTCTTTTCTTTCTCTTTCTTTTTTCTTCAGTCTTGTAGGCCAGTCTTTTTCTTCTCAGCCTTTTTCAGCATGGCCTATCCCTCTGTTCATGCTATACATGGTTCGTTCTATTTGTTTGTTGTTTTTTCAGTGGTAAGGATTGAACCAAGGGCCTTCACACTGAGTTATATCCCCAACTCATTTCTACTTTTTATTTTGAGCCAGAGTTTTGCTAAGTAAATTGCCAAAACTAAGCTTGAACTTTTGATCCTCCTGCCTCAGCCCCTCAGAGTGCTGAGATTATAGATGTGTGCCAGCGTGCCAAACTGTACAGATGTTATTTATTCTCTGAGATTCTATCCCAAACCAGCTTTTTCAAAACTTTTACTTACCCGTGATTTTAACAACTTTGTGACCACAGGCAAATTACTTATCCTCTGTCCCTTGCTTTCCTCTTGTTTAAAGTGAACATTATAGTTAACCTTACCATGTTATTGAGAAGACCAAATGATGATGTATATAAATAATTTAGTGTGGGGCTCAACCTAGAAAGTACACAAGCAATATAAATTCTTGTTACGGCTCACATCTAGATGTCTCCCTGAAGTTCCATACAGTCCCAGCTGGGACCCTTGGGGCATTGCAGCTGAGTTGCTCTTAGGGTGTGGGGCCTGGATGGAAGAAGAGGAGCACGGTGGGGCCTGGATGACCTGCACGGCTGTCTCCCCCTTCCCCGTTGCTCCCGTGACCGTATCTGCTTCCTGGAAACCCCCCTGTGAGCAGCCTCCCTCCACTGTGGCCCCATGCCGTGCCGTCCTGCCTCGGAGCCAGCCAACTCTAGACTAAAACCTGAGCCAGATCCTCTCCTTTAAGTTGTGTGCATTGGGTACTGTGGCCCAGTGGTAAAGTGACTA